GTAAAAAAAAAAAAAAAAGAAATCATTTTCTTTAATCTTTAAACTGAAGATGCCCCTTGCAGTACTTCTTTTTAGCCTCAAGATGCCCTCAGTCTTCTGGATTCAATTGTGCCCAGTGCAGGGCTGGGGACACACTGTGACGGCAGGGGGCACCATCGTGACACCCTGCTGATATGCAGTGGTGCATATAGGGGGCGCCATCATGTCACCCTGATACGCAATGGTGCAGAGAGGGGGCACCTCCACCACGGCATCCTGCTAATACACAATGGTGCAGAGAGGGGGCACCTCCACCATGGCATCCTGCTAATACACAATGGTGCAGAGAGGGGGCACCACCACGGCACCCTGCTAATACGCAATGGTGCAGTGAGGGGGGACCACCACGGCACCCTGCTAATATGCAATGGTGCAGAGAGGGGGCACCACCATGTCATCCTGCTAATACGCAATGGTGCAGAGAGGGGGTATCACCACGGTACCCTGCTGTTTTAATGCAGGTGAGGTATGCAATTATTTATTTCTGTAATCAGGTTTTTCTGTTCACTTGCTATGTTTTTTTATGCATTAATAATGGCAAATATTTCTACATTGTATCCGATCACATTTTAATCTTATGGGGCTTGGTATATGTCTGGGTGAGAAGATGGAGATGGGGCTCAAAATCTGGCAAGGGGAAAGGATAGAGATAGGACTGGAAATTTGGCTAGATGAGACGTACCCGAAGATGCAGGCATGGCAAGATAGCTAGTTGAGGAGCCAAGTGTGGAACAGGATACATGGTTAGGATGAGAGCATGAAGATGGGAGATATCAGGCAAGGTGAGAGTTACCATAAGGAGCAAGCATGTGGGGGGGAAGGGGGTGGGCAGAGATAGGATGAGAGAACAGAGAAGGAACTGGGTATCTAGCTAGGTGGGAGGGCAGAAATGGAGTGAGATTTCATCCGTGACATTTCCTGGCTACGAAATATTCCGCGGTCACCTGTTGGTGGGATTATAACAAAGTGGAAGCAACTGGGAACAACAGCAACTCAGCCACAAAGTGGTAGGCCACGTAAAATGACAGAGCGGGGTCAGCCCATGCTAAAGCGCACAGTGCGCAGAAGTCGCCAACTGTCTGCAGAGTCAATAGCTACGGACCTCCAAACTTCGTGTGGCCTTCAGATTGGCACAACAACAGTGCGTAGAGAGCTCCATGGAATGGGTTTCCATGGCCGAGCAGCGTCATCCAAGCCGCACATCACCGAGTGCAATGCAAAGCGTGGGATGCCGTGGTGTAAAGCGCGCCGCCACTGGACTCTAGAGAAGTGGAGACGTGTTCTCTGGAGTGACCAATCACGCTTCTCTGTCTGGCAATCCGATGGACGACAATGCCTGACTGCATTGTGCCAAGTGTAAAGTTTGGTGGAGGGGGGATTATGGTGTGGGGTTGTTTTTTAGGGGTTGGGCTCCGCCTCTTAGTTCCAGTGACGGGCACTCTTAAGGCATCAGCACACCAAGACATTTTGGACAATTCCATGGCCCCAACTTTGTGGGAACAGTTTGGGGATGGCTTTCCTGTTCCAACATGACTGCGCACCAGTGCACAAAGCAAGGTCCATAAAGACATGGATGGGGGAGTTTGGGGTGGAGGAACCTGACTGGCCTGCACAGAGTCCTGACCTCAACCCCATAGAACTCCTTTGGGATGAATTAGAGCGGAGACTGCGAGCCCGGCATTCTCCCCCAACATCAGTACCTGACCTCACAAATGGTCCAACATTCCCATAGACACACTCCTAAACCTTGTGACAAACCTTCCCAGAAGAGTTGAAGCTGTTATAGCGGCAAAGGGCGGAGCCAACCCGATACTGAACCCTACGGACTAAGATTGGGGTGCCATTAAAGTTCATGTGTGTGTAAAGGCTGGTGTCAGGAGCTACAGAAGCAGTGGCCACAGTTACGGTCAGACAGCGCTAGGTGATCTCTGAGCCTCATTACAGGTACCATGGCTTATTATAGTCCATTGTTTCTACTGTCCTGTGCTTTTCTCTCTTACCTTCCTATGTCTACAGATCATGTCTGATGAGGGTAAGTTTTTACTTTCACTCATTTAAAGAGTCCTGACCTCAACCCGATAGGACACCTTTGGGATGAATTAGGGCGGAGACTGCGAGCCCGGCCTTCTCCTCCAACATCAGTACCTGACCTCACAAATGGTCCAACATTCCAATAGACACACCCCTAAACCTTGTGGACGCCTTCCCAAAAGAGTTGAAACTGTTATAGCGGCAAAGGGCGGGCCAACTCAATATCGAACCCTACCAACTAAGACTGGGATGCCATTAAAGTACATGTGTGTGTAAAGGCCGGCGTCCCAATACTTTTGGCAATATAGTGTAGATGGGGCTGGATATTTGGCTAGGCGAGAGGACAGAGATGGAGAGGGAGGACAGATATTGGAAAGGATATTTGGTTGGGAGAGAGGACAGAAAGAAGAGTTGATATCTGGCTAGATGAGAGCTACCAAGAGAAGCAGACATTACAGGGGACAGAGATGGAGTGAGAGGACAGATATGGAATGACAGGAAGGAGATGGAGAGAATACAGAAATTGAACTTGGTTTCGGGGTAGATGAGAGGTACCAGGAGAGGCATACTGAGGGGGAAAGAGATGGAGTTAGAGGGCAGAGATGGGTATCTGTCTATATGATAGGATATCCCAGATAGCAAGGATAACTTGCTACAAACCTGTGTCGGGGTTACATTGTAATTCTTGTTAACTTGCTGCGCACATTGCTGGCAAGTTGTAGACTTGCAGAACACTCGCAGCACAAGTTCTAGGCGACACTTTTTGAATTTGTAGCAAATTTGCTTGGCAAGTCTACAGCAAGAGTCCTGCAGGTCTTAGCAAGAGCTCTGCAAGCTCGCTGGTCTGGAGACTTGCAATGCAGACTTGCTGAAATTGTGCAACAAAATGGTGAAGCTCGGCAAGCCTGCAATAGTTTAGCAAGTCATTCTCAAACTTGTAGCTCAATTGCTTGCTATCTGGGATGAGATAAGTTGAAAAAACATGGATGAGAGTTGATATCTAGCTATGTAGGACGACAGAGATGGTGACAGGTACCAGGAGAGGGCAGGCACGCTGGAGGGACAAGGATGAAGTCAGAGAACCAGGAGAGGCAGACATGCAGAAAGAACAGAGTCAAAGTGAGAGGACAGGGATGGTAAGAGGCAGGCATGCTGGAGGGACAGAGTCAAAGTGAGAGGACAGGGATGGTGACAGGTACCAGGAGAGGTAGGCACATTGGAGGGACAGGGATGGTGCCAGGTACCAGGAGAGGCAGGCACATTGGAGCGACAGGGATGGTACCAGGAGAGGCATGCTTGTTGGCGGGACAGGGATGGTGACAGGTACCAGGAGAGGCATGCTTGTTGGCGGGACAGGGATGGTGACAGGTACCAGGAGAGGCAGGCACGTTGCAGGGACAGGACAGGTACCAGGAGAGGCAGGCACGTTGGAGGGACAGGGATGGTGACAGGTACCAGGAGAGGCAGGCTCGTAGGAGGGATAGTGACAGGTACCAGGAGAGGCATGCTTGTTGGAGGGACAGGGATGGTGACAGGTACCAGGAGAGGCAGGCTCGTAGGAGGGACAGGGATGGTGACAGGTACCAGGAGAGGCATGCTTGTTGGAGGGACAGGGATGGTGACAGGTACCAGGAGAGGCAGGCACGTTGGAGGGACAGGGATAGTGACAGGTACCAGGAGAGGCAGGCACGTTGGAGGGACAGGGATGGTGACAGGTACCAGGAGATGCAGGCACGTTGGAGGGACAGGGATGGTGACAGGTACCAGGAGA